TTAGAGGGTTCTAATGCAGGCGATGGGCTGTGGAAGCTACTAAGCAATAGGAGTGATAAAGTAGTAAGAAGTGCAGTCAGAAACAGAGTCTGATAATAAAAAAAAGGCGTAAGTATAAGCTGATTTTGAATTCTTTGGACTTGAGATTTTCAGCTTCTAAGTCTTCCTGGTTGCCGGTTAGCAATTCGTTCCTCGACCTGGCTTCTTGTTTGATTGAAATGAACTATACTGGAACATCGTTATCCACCAGCACTAATGCACTGGCTGGATGTTCGTTTCAGTGCTAGCTTTGTTAAGGTCAGACATATCGAGCCCCTTTAGTGCCAGTAAGTAACAAGATTTGAAAAGTGCAGTGTTACAGCTCGATCTGTCAGGCTACGTGAAAGCGATGGTGAATGACATCCGTGTATATTTGCAAACCAGTTTGCTAGTCCGTGATGAGCGACCTCAGATCGAAGTCACTGACTGCTCGATGGATGTGGATTACATTGAAGTGAACGTCAGTGGCGGTATCATCCCCTGGATTGTTAATCTGTTCCGAAAGCATCTAGCTGCTATTGTCAAAAGTACCATACGTCGAGAGGTCAAACAATTTTTACATGCTTTTTTTTTCGATGAAAACGCATATTGTGACAACCCCCGTGTATATATATATGTGTGGTGTGTGTGTGTGTGTGTGTGTGTGTGTGTATACGTCTGTCAGAATCATTTCAACTCGGCAACCAAGCAGGCTGCGCCAAAATTTTGCCAGCGCCCAAGGGCTGCCCCAGAATCGCGGTACCAACCTACGCACGTCTAGGTCCAGCGTACGAGCCAGTGAAAGTTTTGGCGGGAAAATCGCTAATTCCGAAACCAGAAAAAGCTGAAGGTCGGAGTTTTGCGGTCATGCCCCTCGCCCACATAGGACTCAAAGATTTCAAATTCAGCCCCTAGGCATGCGTGATCCCCACGTACGATTTCGTGAAGTTTTTGGCAGAACAATCGCTAACTCAGGAACCAGGAAAGCTGGAAGGCTGAAATTTTAAGGGGATGTTCCTAGTCCACATACAACTTTAAGTTTTCAAGTTCAGTCCCGAAGTATGTGTAGTTCTCGCATGCGGTCACGCGAGAATTTTTGGCGAGAAAATTGTTAACTCGAGCACCAGAAAAGAAAGAAAGCTGGAATTTTGAGGGGATGTTCCTTGACCAAGTACCATGTAGTTGCACGATTAATTTCCTGAACTTCGAGGAACAGCGCGCCATAAATTCTAGCTATTGAGACTCCAATCGGTCTTACAATAGCACGAAACACTGCAAAAACGCATGATCGCACTGGCCCGCCCGGTTATCGTCACTAATGATTGAATATTTACTGAAATTAGCAACCTTTCGTTTTCCATTTGATCGCCCTTGTCTCCTTGTTCAGGATATGTAACACCTTCCACGAAAGAAGAGCGAGAAAGTGATTGGAAGAAGGAAAACGGAAGGAACGGGTGGGAGGAACAGGAGGAAAAAGCTTAAATAGTCAAAGCATCCACATTCCAAATTTGGAGGGAAAGTTGCACTGAAGTGCAGCGCCGTGTATTCAGAAAACGCTGAAAAAAGGTGCCTTATTAGCAGAACTGAATAGCTCTGTTGCGGTAATCCTGCAATACTGCTGATAATTTTATTATGGGTTTTTTACAGCTATGCAATACGGAAAACACGTATTGACGAGAGGTTGTCTGTGTGTGTGTGTGTGTGTGTGTGTGTGCCTGTG